GGGGGGTGTGGTGGGGGGTGGTGGGAGTGTGGGTGGGCGCAAAACTCGCATTCACCAGACGGCCCTACATCGCAGTAGGCCAGGAGATCTCCAGTGTTGGGACGTGCATTTACAAACATAGTGCGTAAACCGCCTAGATGATCTTGTTTGACGTAGAACCCCAAAAGGCTGCCTTCCTATCACCCCATTACAAGAACGTATGTTTTACATACTATGTCGCACGGTCCTTTTGTCGGGTAACCTTGTTGAACGATGTGAGTATCCCTACAAGGCCCCTTTTCCTTAGCTTCAGCTTTTTCATAAGATCTTTTTTCTTAATGTCTTAATGGCGTTCTCCAAGTCCTGTCTGCTACATCCCTCGTAGATGGCCATTTGTCTAGGTAAACGCACCATCAATTCTGAGATGATTGCGGACAGGGGCGGAAGCAAAGATGTATGTAGCGCAGGGCCGTAACTTCTACACGATGCATGGTTGCGTGTCTTCGCTGAGGGCCCCCTTGTCAATGGCATTCTTAGATAACACTTTTTCAGGCGGATCCCTCAAAGGGCCTCTTTTCGACAACCTTGCATAGCAGTCTTGCAGCCACTATGAGGGGGAGACCTTAAGTCCAGTCCTCAAGCCCACTTGTGGGTTAGTCATTTTCCCAAGATGCAGCTCATAAACTGCAGTCTCCTTGAAAAGGGCACATCCAGATGGAATCCACGAGATGGCTGCCGGATGATGCCCAAATTTATTGGAAACCTGCTAATTTTGCTTTGTCCCGATCCCTTCTACTGGATCCCATACGCGCCCCCTCGACTATTAGATCAGCCGCTCCCACACCAGTCGCTGTTCTCGGACCAAAACGGGCGTTTGTTGGAAAAAAAAGGCAGAAAAAATCAAGAGACCGGCAAAGAGGGGGTTCTTGGGCGGGGAGCCGGAGGGCACGGCAGATCGGCAAAGCCCAAGGCAGGCTTTTCCAGAAAACTTGTAGAGAGTTCCGGAAAGGTTTGAAGGGGGGACGCTAGGGGGGTCGGAAGAGGCCCAGGGGAACCTCTCCAAACATCCAAAACACTTGGGGTGGGGAGGCTGGGAGGAAAGCATGGGCTTCACTGTGCGCACGCCCCGTGAAGCCGGGGTCGGCGGATGTTCTACAAGGTATGGAATCAAAAATGGAAACCCACCATTCAGGATTTAGGGTTAAGGAATGGAGGAGAAAATGGAAATTACTATGCTAATGGGGATGATATGGGGGCTACTTGGGTGCTCTGATTCCTACATCATTAAGTTCCTGACTCAGCAAGAGTCTCTAAAAGATCCCAAAATTTTAGGAATTACAGGTTTAGGGTTGGGTGTGTATCTAGGGCTTAGGGTTAATTCCCAAAGTAACAGGGAGCTAATTAGGGGTTAGGATCTGCGGAGTTTGGAGCTCAGATTTCAGTGACGTAGTTTCGGGACGCAAATCATGCTGCTTTAGGATTCGGTGTGTATCATGCATAGCTGTACAGAGAGCGTCCGTATCTACCACCTTCGTCTGCAGTAGAAAAGCCATTTGCCCACTGAGCCTGATGTTGCCTTGTTTTAGGCCCCTCACCCCGGCCTTTTTTAAAGTTGTTCGAGCTGAGCAAGGTGCCTCTGAGACCCTGAATTTCCGATGCCTAGCAATGGCCCTGCGAGGCTGTTCTGCTCTGCGCGCGTGCCTTGGGTGCCGGGTCTTGGGCGGCGGAGGAGACGCGCAGGCTGCGGGAACATCGAGGCCCTGTGGGTTTAGAGGGTGTAGGTCTCACAATCGAAGTGTGAGCTTTCGATCTGAAGAAGCCTTTAAAGGCATAACAGGTGCAGAAGACATGGGCCACTGTCGGGGCCACTGTCGTGTCACTACTATAATATGATGCACAGTTTTTTGGGTGATAGGAGGTATGTAGCGGATGGACATTGGATTGGTGCCATGGGTTCTGATTGGAAAACAATACCGTGCTCGCCAAAAACGATAACGTCAACCTATACCCCGCAACTTGGAGAAACACGACACTCACCGATTTTCCAATGAAAGCAGTACATCACATGGCGGCTCGAAACGGCTCCCCACTTCGATTTCTCTTCGTAACCAGAGGCTTGTGTTGGAATTCATCTCGAGCTACCTTGGAAGCACTTGAGCTAGAGCGCCTGATCTTCAAATTGCACAGCAGAAGGGCGGCTAAACAAGCTCAATTGCCGTGGAGCATTTATGGAATTTTATGGAAACATCACTATAGTCACTATAGCGCCGTATACTTCGCAACCACACGTACCGTTCTCGGTTTTTGCAGTGAGGGCAATAACACGAAGAGCGCTTCTTGCGATCACGTTTCTTCAAATTCAGAATATCAGCTTAGTGTTTATACTACCGCTTGCCATCACACGCTGAGTGCAGTATGTGACCCTATATACCCCTATATATCATATATTCCTATCTAGCCGTAAATGTCCCTATGTACCCATTCACTCATAGCAAGACTCGACCAGTATCCATGCAACTTTCCAACACCTTGGAGCCAGCGTCAGGCTTTAGAACGTCAGACGATCTCGAGGACCTCTCAACCTGCCCACAGTGGTTGAAGAGTTGCGGGGAGAGTATAGGCCAGGAACGTGTAATTGTCATAGCAAGAAAGGTATTCATCATAATGCCAAAAAGGATGACTATATAGCAAACAGAAGCCTCCATTTTCCGGGGAGGCAAAGTGAAGTGGTCAGCTCATGAAGTCCAGATGTCGAGTTGAGGATGCTGGATTCCAGATGCCCCCCTTGCAGAATAGTGTTTCTACAAGAAAATCATATGCGGCGTCTGTAAACAGTTGCAGTTGCGGCTGTATGAAGCATATAGCTCCTGTATCGATCCTTCCTGCAATGGTTCTCGCGGCATTTGTCTTTGCCCTCCAAAAGCCAGACCGAATCATCCTTGACCAAGCCATTTGAGACAGAACTCTTCGGCCCTTTGCCAGCCTCTGCGTATCTAATGCTTTCAAGCTTGGCCAGGGAATGGCGTTGCCTTGTATCATACTGAGACTCACCGTGAGGTCGAACCCCATCAAATGTAATTGGCTGTGCAAAGAAGCTCCTGTGCTGTGCTGGGTGTGTTCTGCAAGCATCGAAATCGAAGCACCATTCCACCTCTCAACACTTGAACTTAGGAATGTTTCGGGCGGAAGATACTATTATTGCCACCCCGCTTTTTATTGCCGATGGACCTTGTTTACACCTTTTTCGGGCTCCGAACTTGTTACTTTAGAAAGCAGACGTTATCTCCCGGGCTCGGCAACAAAATGTTATTGCCGCACCCTTTCTTAAAGGCAAGTTAACATTAGTATTGCTATGGTTGGTTTTGGTTCAGAACTTTTGACTGCCTACTGCATCTGTCTGTTGCTTTGCGCACTGAAGCCGCGCGCCCCCTTCAATTTGACTAGCAATGCTGTTGCAAGTTGTAAGCTGTTTCACCTCACCGCCAGGAAGTTGTGGAGGACTTGCAGATGAGGCTGTTCTGGGACGAGGCGTTCATGCAAATTTCTCAAAATGCCCTTCCTCCTGACAAGGTGATACTGTTGACAGGAAGCCCAAGAAGGGATCCACAATTGTAAGCAGTCACCTGATGCTTGCTTTGCCCATTTGAACTTGTTCTTGTGGATTCTGCTCTCTTGAATTGTATATGTTGCCACCCCATTTGGATTTAGCCAAATCTTCAATCCCGAGGGCTCGAAGGACCTGGAAGCAGCAGTAAGGCAAGGTGTACCAGGCTCAGCCGCCAGATCCAAAGCAACATCATTCCAGCAAAAGCCTTTCATCTCATGAGCATGAAGCGAGCAAGATACTCAACCCAGGTATAAGCTGCAAGTCTGATTTCTAGAGTTATAAACCTGCTGCGCCCAGGAACGGTCTCTTATTATGTGCCTGCTCAGGCCAAGGGGTGAGTAGCAGCGGAAAGACATTACAAGACCAACCTACAGTCACGAGCGTGTAGGATATGGGTTGAAACCTCCGCTGCTGCTTTCGTTGGAGAAGGGCAATCTTCGTTAGCTTCTCCTGTAGCTTTTTCTTCTCACCGACTAGGGCCCACAAACCAAAGATCCTGACACATCAACCCGGCGGCCCGGCAAAGCCCTCCGAACACCCCAAAACACCAAACCCTGAAGTGAGGGTTTCCTAAAATTAGGGGTACCATGTTGGGGGGCCCCATAATAAGGATTATAGTACTTGGGGTCTGTATTGGGGTCCCCTTATTTTGGAAAAGCCAAGTCCTGAACCTTTTGATCCCTACTCCCAGGGCTCCAAGCCCGGCCACCTTCAAAGAATGGGCCCCACGCGCTTCGCGGCTGGGAGCCCCAGGGTTTAGGGTTTAG